ACCCGCCGCAAGCTCCCTCACCCGCCGCTGGTCTCCTCAGTCGCCGCATAAGCCATGCCCGCCGCTGGTCTCCTCCTCGCCGTGAGCTCCCTCACGCGCCGCTGGCCTGCAGACAATTGAGGGCCCACCTTCTAAAAGTCAGGAGTGGACTACACTAGAAATGTAACTGTAGTGATCTGGATGTAATGACATCAGCTTATTTTAATAGTGAGCACTTCAATTTAGTCAGAATCTCTCAAGGAAACCTCTTATTGAAAAGAGCCCTCCCCCCTCCCCCCCCTTTTCAATAACATGTTTCACTGATGGTTAGCACTTTCCTCCCTGTTCACATAGGAAAGGACTAGCACCTGTTCACTAGAGCTGCAACAATTATTCAATTAAAATTGACGATGGAAAACGTTGTCAACGTTTATCGTCGATTTGTCGGCTAAAATTCAAATTTCCCGGTCACGCCACGCCCATTAAGCTGTTTGTGCCACGCCCACGCGACACGGCTTAGCCACGCCCACACTGAGGACATGCGTCTGGCCCTCTCCTCCTGGCGAGCTTTCCGACTCGCCGACAACCAACAACGCTGCTGCTCGCCGACAACACAGTCATTCAAAGTCAGGCGAGATCAGCCGGGAGCTTTTTAATGCTTCCTGTTGTGTTTTGGTTTTTTTTAAGCGGCACACTGCAGAACATTAGCAGCTATAGAGGAACAACAAACAGCCTGTATAATGTATTATTGCTGGGATTTGTTGTTCCTCTATAGCTGGTGGTATTCTCCATTGCGCTGTGCAATGTATTATTGCTGGGATTTGTAGTTCCTCTATAACTGGTCAGTGGTAATCTGCATTGCACAGTATAATTATATACAGCGCAATGCAGAATACTAGCAGTTAGAGGACTACAAATCCCAGCAATAGTACATTCTATAATGTTGTACTATTGCTGGCATTTGTTGTATTCCTATATAGCTGGTGGTATACTGCATTTCGCCGTATAATTATACAGCGCACTGTAGAGGACTACAAATCCCAGCGATAATAAATTATATACAGCACTGCAGAATACCACCAGCTATAGAGGAATACATCAGATCCCAGCAATAATACATTATATACAGTGCAATGCAGAACGCCAGCTACAGAGGACTACAAATCCCAGCAATAGTACATTATAGCATAATGTACTATTGCTACATTCCTCTATAGCTGCTGGTATTCTGCATTGCGCCGCTGTATAATGTACTATATTGCACACCACACTTTTTTACTTCCACCGTGCCAAGCTTGCTCCTGTGATGGATTACAATCTCAATAGAAACTAGTCCATTACTGGAGCCTTTTTTTTTAAATCCGATTAATCGAACTTAATAAATCGGCCAACTAATCGATTATGAAAATAATAGTTAGCTGCAGCCCTACACACAACCAACATACCTCTTCCAAATCTTTGTTCTGCACCAAAACCATATTCATTGTATCCATTGTACTCCTCATATCCACCATATCCTGCAAAGAAAAATTACATGAATTCACATTTTGTGAGAGGACAGAACCAACTAAAATACAACATGATACTTATCAACTGGTTTTGTGCAAAAGGCAAATGAAAAATATATGGGCCTATTCACAGCTTTACTATGCATGCTGCAGGCACATGGCATAGTACATGTAGAGCAACAACTTGCCTCCTCCATAGGCTCCACGCCTCATGCGGTCAAATCCTCTCCCTGCGGCACTGTAACCTCTACCGGCACCTGGTCTGTCATAGGGTCCTGGGCGCTGCATGCCAAAGAGCTTCCTCGGAGGATCATAGTGTGTACGAACCTCCGCTCTACTGCTCTTAAAAATCTCAATGTACCTAAATGGGAGTTGGGGTAGGGAGATGCATTATTGGCATACACAACAAAAACACACAATTTTACTAAATTTATTGTTAATCACAAGTTTAAAAGAAAAAAAAAGGCAGTTTAAAGCTTCTAAAACCAGTAAACGTTTAGATTATAACTTGTGTGGTCTTTTATCAATGGAATGATAAGACTACAAAAAGGAACATTATGCAAATAAAGCGCAAGGCTTTTCTTGTTAATTAAAAAAACATTATGCGCAGCAATCACGGGTGCAAATAGATAAACCCATTGTGACAGAAGTAATTTTAGACCATAAACATTAAAAATAAATGTAAAACAAGAAAGTATCACATTTTCTTATGGCAACACTAACAGATTTACATCATGTATATCAGGCTAAATACATTTTAACTTACATGTTCTTTCATTTTCATTAGATTAAGTTTATGTTCTTTATCAAACTATACCATAAGAAAAGTGACAACCAACCATCCATCCATCCCCACCTGTGCCCTATTCTCTCCTTGTGTTTCTTTAGAGCCTTTTCAGCTATTTCCTGTGAAGCAAACTGCACGAAGGCCTCCCCCGTACTCCTCCCCTGGAAGTCCACCGGCAATGTTATCCCATTTGGCACGATTTCCAACCCTTCAACCCAAGGACAAATAACCCCAGTGGGGGGTAAACATTAACATTTTACAAACCCAGACAGACATTCTTATAACACCAGTACATTCAGGGCAGTAAAACATTTACCAAAAACATGCAGTACCATTTTCTAAACATCTGCAGATCTCCTTCCTACTCACAGCTATATTAGTTTCCAAATATATTTTGAAGCATTTGCATGTTTACAAGTTTTTTTTTAAATTTTGGTGAATTGAAAGAACAGCTTAAACATTGAACACTGCAACAGTAGAAAAAAAAAAGAAAAAGCTGCCCATACAATATCAAATAAAAAATATAGGTGAATGGTGAGTGTTACCACAAGTTATGTGCCTTTTGTGTCATTCCTTTAATGAGACAAAAGCCCCACCTCCCCCCTAGGCAGGGTACACTGCTGGAGTGAAACTTGCCGTTTCAATGTTGGCTGAGGATGTTTTTGGGAGAGAGTGTAAAGTTTCACTCCAGGGATATCCAACACGGTTTACAAATAGTGACATTTAGTTGGGGTTATTTTTGGAACCCAATTAAAAAATGGCAGGTTAACAGCACCTAAGGGAAAGTATACTGGGAAATCAGTGGATGCATATTTTAGGTGGTTTACTACAGTGTTTCCCTTAAAGAAATTTCTAAAATCACATCACTTTTACAAAGCTTGCTCGCCAAAATGGAGATCATGTACAGCAGTTTTACATTGGCAACCAGACGGAGCACTTACTGACCTGTACAATTGCCTGGTCTCTTAATTGGAGACAAAAGAAAGCCACAAATGGAGTGCATTCATTTTAAAGTCTGCAGTGCTACACAGTGGTTTTCACTTATAGCATACTCATTTACTCTTGCGGGTTTATAAAAACACACTACATATGAAAATTCCCTTTAAATATTACAAAAAGCCGCACCCGAGACACTGCCAATATAATGGTTTTCTCTGGAGGTGCACCGAAATGGAAATTCCAAAACCGGAAAAAAAAATCGTCAGGCTGAAACCAAAAGTTTTTTTTATTTGAATTTAATATTTAATTTTTATTTATATTTTTATAAACTTTAAATTTTTTATTAAATATTTTTAACTTTACTTTTTAGGGGCTTTGGGGAAATATTAGGGGTCTAAACAGATCCCTGATATTTCCCTTTTAAAATAGAAAAAGGATTGACACAAAGTTCGCAATCTCTTTTTCTGCAGTCCCTGTTATCAATGAACAGGAATCCTCTATACCGAGTGTTCCTGTTCATTCATAACTGTTTACAATAACCACAACTATGAATGAACAGGAGGTGATGTAGATCACTTGCCATTCATTCATAATTGAGGATATAGTAACCATATTCTGTCCTCAGCCTCCAGTGACAGTGCAGGCCGTCTCCGCCCCCCACACCACTCTGCTGGACTGTGATAGGAGGTTTAGAGGTGTGGAAGGACGACGGCCGCTTGCCTCCGGCAGAAAAAAAAAAAAGAATAGGCTGCACTACAGAAAATAGATGACTATGTAGAGGTCTCCATTTATCAACTGTAGTATTCACAGCTCGGGCAATAAAGAAAAAAGTAGGTGTAGATCAGACATTAAAATTTTAACCCACAGATGTCAGCATGTGAGGTTTTCTGCATCAAACATTGTAAAGGGGAAAGAGGGAAATTATTCTAGCAAGTTTCTGTTCATTTGATATTCATGCAAGAAATGGGGGGCATGGTAATGTCAGGAGAACAAACAAAACTATGTATATATGTTGGAATAATTCCCCTTATTTCTTGTCTTAACAGAAGTGAGGTAGAATGCCTACAGCAGAGAAATAAACTGGAGAGGTTCTAACCTTTCCCCACTGTATACAATAAAATAGTTTCAACTCAAGTTGGGATTTAAAATGACAAGTTTGTAAGGGGAAACTGAGCAAATGATTGTATATGCTTAGCGGAGATAGATGCCTTCCCCCAAGCAATTTAGGAAATGCTGTTTTTTTCTATCTTTAATAGGACACCACATATACAATTGAAGAATGCCATGTTTAAAACTTAGGGAAAAAAGCTTCTATTGAAAGGGATGGAATGTTACCAATAGGGTAAGAACACAAAAGCAAAGAAAAGGGCAAACCATAACAACTTGGAACCCGCTTAGTAAGGATCCAGGTGCCCGAAAGGACATTTTGCAGGGTATATAAAACTGTAGTGTAATGCCCAGTCTTATTGTACAATGGCCTTTCAATTTACCAACTACCATGTAGTAAATGTTCTAATGGTAGGCACTATACACTGCACTGAAAAAGTAAAAGGGGACATTTAAGGTGTGTGGCTCAGGTTAAGACTCCTAACCATTAAAGACTGGTACAGGGGAAATAAAAAAGTCACTGTTAAGCACAGAGCATACCTGAGAAGAACTGTACAATTTCTTCTTTACTGCAGCCAAATGGAAGGCCTCTTAAACGAACAAAGCCATCGTTTGCAGTGTCAGGGCTGTTAGGACCAGTATGCTTCAAAACCCAGTCCATTTCTACATTATTAGACTTGAAAACTGTAAGAAATAGAAATGCAAAAAATCAGGTCATTATGAGGATATTCTCTATGTATAGAGACACCCATAAAACACAAAATGATCATTGATAAGTGGAAAACATGTACATCATGCTCGTTATTTAGGCACTCCCGCTCCAGTGTAAGGCAAAAAATTTGCAATTCTGCCTGAAAAGCTTTTGTACTTTTCCTAGCTTTAAGCTACAAGAAGCTCAGGTGTGTACAGGCATCACTAAAAATGAAGGGATTCTTCACGTTGAGAAACACGCGACATAACACAATGTGAATGGAGGCTAAGACTAAGGAGGAAAGGGCTAGATAATTGTGGACGTCCTGCAGCCAGGAAGTGAGGTGGGCTCTTTCTGACTTGCTGCAGCTTCTAAGACACATAGGGAGAAGCTTGTAGGGAAATCAGTACGCAATTTCAGGAGCATGAACGCAGCTTGCCTGACGTGTACAGGTCCAGTCTCAGCCAAGAGCCCTCATTCACAGGTAAACCCCCCATCAAAAGTAGGTGGTCATGTACACAAAGGGCAGGCTGCATTCTCACGTAATTCTGTAGTCCTAGCACAGGAGCGCACAGGGAGTGCCTCCACGAACACAGAGGGAGGATGCCCTCAGCATTCTGAACTTTTAAAGAAACAGCAGCCCAGTGGTCTGTAAGAACCATATTGTGACATTGATTAAAAATGTGAGGGTTTAATATCACTAAAAGGGCCCAGTCACATCACATCCAGTGTGTTCCGTTGCAGTTCATGCCCCCATAAATCAATCTGGCTAGGGATCTAGGGTGGGAGGAGGTGTGTTGGTGCCATGTCAATGAACGCAAGGTATAGAAATGCCCTCCAATCCAGTACGATCTGAAATGCCCTCCAATCCAGTACGATCCATTTTTTCAGACCACACGTAACTGGAATGGAGGGCATTCTTGTACCTCAAGTTAAAGTGCGGACGGGGGTCGTGTCAGTACCATTCATGTCAAGGGCACTGCAGACACCAGAACGCGGCCCAGCTCGATCTATGCGAGCCAGTGCGTTCCACACTGGATATGGTGTGACTGGGCTCTGAGGGAACTCAGAGATGCATTATATGTCTGGGGTGAATACTACATTGGCTTTCTTCTCCAAACGGAAGTCACCAAATGCACTCTTCCTAAAATGGCATCCCCCTTGTGAGCTTACTCACACCATCTCCAGACCTGGGTGCATTTCCGGAAAGCATTTGGGTGCGTTCTTTTAAAGTCTCACTTGAATTTCTAGTGTGCTGTGGGCAGAGGAGGCTGCCTGGAAAAGACGCTGTTGGCTTATGAAAGATGGCACCCGCTGTGGGAACAGGCCTTGACATGGCCTAAATGTTTGTAGTGCAAATTTAGACTATTGGAGAAATTATGATTTTTCAGTATTATTCCTTAATAAAATATTCTGTGTAAGAATTTACAGTGCAAAGACGTGGCTGGGTATACAATGGGTATACTTGTGGAGCAGAGAGCCGACCGCATCGGCTCTGTGTTAGGTTATCGCATGGCCATGTTTACTTTTCCAAGCCCTCCCTCCTCCATCAGGGGCAGAGTAATGAATGGATGAGACATCAGTTACTTCCTACTGAAAACAAGCTGCAGAAAAAAAAAAAAAAAAAGTTTCCTATCGTTTGAAACCCCCTGCTGCTTAGCAGAAAATTAAGTGCATCTCTGCTCTGACCTGTATATTTCCCCTTCAACCCCCTTAGCCTGCACATCTATACATGATCCTCTTCATCTGCATCCTCCTACTGTATGTGACCTGTACTGTACATGAAAGTGCTGAAATGATTAAAGGGACCGCTTCCAATGCTCTCCATATAATCACATGGTAATGAAGTACTCACCTTCCACATATCTATGGCCCATGGTCTCTCGGTCTTTTTTCAGAGCTAGGTTGAGATCATCCTCGGTTTCAAACTCCACAAATGCCTCCCCGCTTGGCCTTCCTTCTCTGGTATATATGAAGTGGATGCCATGGGTGCCGTTTAAGATTTTAGATTCTAAAGAGCAGAAGACATGACGTAAGCTAGTGCCGGTAACACCAGCATGGAAGGCAGAAAGCCTGCCATTTTATCATCATCACACCTACCTACGAAAAAGCTTTCGATTTCATCTGTGGAACAGGACCACGGCAGCCCCCGGACCTTCACCACGCACCCTTCCCCACCTTCGGACATTTTCTCTCCTCGCTGCTAGCCGAGACTGCGGAACACCACGTGACTGGAGAACAGAACAGCGTCACAAAGACAAAATGGCGGCCGCGCCTCGATTACTCGGATACACCGCTAACAAAACAAAGCCGCGGGCACGACCTAGCGAACACTATACACGTCTACTCCCGAATATACTGCAATACTGGAAGTCATACATAGCTTATACACCCCATTGAAAACGAGTGTAGAAAAAAAAAATATACCTTATTTCTACATCTAGAAAACCTCAATCAATAACATGCAGGTAGATCGCCTTTTCCTACATCAAATCAGGAAACAAAGGCAGGCAATTGAAAGTCACGTGTAACTTCCCGGTGATACAAGTGAACCGCGTAGACTATTACATACCCCAAACAAAACAAATATAACCGAACCCACGCCTGAACACATGCAGTTAACGCTTACCTACTGCTCCGAACAGCTCTCCGGTTTCCTAAGAAAGACGAAGTGACTGCCAGTAATAAATATAAGGTCGGCGCATGCGCACTGTAATCCGTACCGCCCCCTCCCAGTGACGTACTGGGCCTGGTTTGGCGCTCTGTGAGTTTGCTCCCTGCTGGTGGTGAGCACGTCTTTGTGAGATCTCTGAAGGTCCACCTCTGGCATCTTCCTTTATGTTTGCAAAATGAATAAAAGCTCACTTATTTTTAGAAATTTGTGAACCCAAAAATACATCAGTATCTATATGTCTGCTTAAAGAGACACTAAACTCAGGAGTTAAATCTTAAAATGTATTCAAGTACCCTAACTAATAAGAGAAATGTACCTTATGTGCGTATCACTTGGCTGTAGATCCTCAAATTATGTTTTTATTTCATGCCGACACTGTACTTCCTTCTGGAGGGTGGCTACCTTTGTTGCCCATGCTATCTGTGTGTGTTGTAAAGTAGCCACCACTCCAAACTCACTCCTATGATGGACAACAATCTCATGTTTAGTTTACTAATGTCTATTGAGATTGTAGTCCATCCAGGGAGCAAGCTTGGAGCAGTGACTACTTTACAACACACACAGGGACCATGGGGAACAAAAGTAGGAAGAACAATGTCAGCACAAATTGAGATGATTTGAGGATCTACAGCTGAGTGATACACAAATAAGATACCGTTTTGTTAATAGTTATGGCACTTGAATGTATTTTTAAGATTGAACAGTTTAGTGTCAATTTAATAAGTGCTTACTGCGACAAAGTGGAAGTAAAGACACAATATAAGAATCTGCTAAGATGTAAGGATGTTTGGCAGAAGGGACATGCAAAGTCTCTTAATGCAAAAAACAAAACCTTCCTCCCAATTTTCTATGTACACCGTACAGTACAAGAGCCGTTATGGGTACACTCAGCTTATTCGTGCCATAATTGGGCCGGATGCCACTTGTGTGGGCATGTGTTACATCATCACTGGCCAATATATTCAAATATAAACCGCACTCTAACCCCTAACCAAAAGAATGGATGGAACCTCTAAGCAGCTGCTTAAATATCAATAATAGATATTAATGATATAGGTAAAAGTGTGCAGTGGTATTTCCCCTAAACTAGAGTGCAAAATGCATGCAAAAGAAACCAACAATTCATGCAATAAATCCATACACAACAATACATAAAATGCCCAAAGATGCAGGATATCAGCATAGAAGCCCTTAGAAGTTCATGAGATCCATAAAATGCAATGTGCATCAATAATACATGAAAAGTGTTCAGATATAAACTTGTCTGCTACTTCAATCTTCACAATATATAAAGTGCAAAGTGTATCAATAATGTAACAAAGTGTTCACACTCCAGAACTGAAATCAATGATCAACATTTAAATATATCAGTCACTTTCTGATACATAAGGATAAGTCTGTAAAAACCTATAATGACTTAACCACCACTAAAAAAAGCAAACAAAATTGTAACAGTGTATCCACAGTGATGAATGACAGTCCCGGCTATTTGGACAACAGCCATTATGAACTTAGGAGCACTTTTTTGCTGATATCCTGCATTTTTCAGCATTGTATGTATTGTTGTGTATTGCTTTATTGCATGAATTGTTACTTTTTCTGGTATGCGTGTTGCACTTCAGTTTAGGGGGAATAGCACTGCACACTTTTTATCTACACTATATTGCCAAAAGTATTGGGACAACTGCCTGTACACGCACGTGAACGTTAATGACATCCCAGTCTTAGTCCGTAGGGTAAATATTGAGTTGGCCCACCCTTTGCCGCTATAACAGCTTCAACTCTTCTGGGAAGGCATCCACAAGGTTTCGGAGTGTGTCTAGGGGAATGTTTGACCATTCTTCCAGAAGCACATTTGTGAGTAGTGATGAGCCGAACACCCCCGTGTTCGGTTTTGATATATACAGAACTCTGATATATACAGAAATCTGATATATGCAGAACTCTGATATATACAGAAATCTGTATAACACTCATAGTGTGGGATGTGCCGCGGTCAAACAGACCGCGGACATCCCATAATGTTCGGTGTTCGGCGAACGCTCGAACATGCTATGTTCGAGTCGAACATAGGTTCGACTCGAACGCGAAGCTCATCCCTATTTGTGAGGTCAGATACTGATGTAGGATGAGAAGGCCTGGCTCAGGGTCTCGCTCTAATTCATCCCAAAGGGGTTCTATTGGGTTGAGGTCAGGACTCTGTGCTGGTCAGTCAAGTTCCTCCACCCCAAACTCGCTCATCCATGTCTTTATGGACCTTGCTTTGTGCACTGGTGTGCAGTCATGTTGGAACAGGAAGGGGCCATCCCCAAACTGTACCCACAAAGTTAGGAGCATGAAATTGTCCAAAATGTCTTGGTATGCTGATGCCTTAAGAGTTCCCTTCACTGGAACTAAGGGGCCAAGCCCAACCCCTGAAAAACAACCCCACACCATAATCCCCTCTCTACCAAACTTTACACTTGGCAACTGCAGTCAGACAAGTACCGTTCTCCTGTCACCCCCCAAACCCAGACATGTCCGTCGGATTGCCAGATAGAGAAGCGTAATTGGTCACTCTAGAGAACACGTCTCCACTTCTCTAGAGTCCAGTGGCGGCATGCTTTTCACCATTGCATCCGACGCTCTGCATTGCACTTGGTGATGTAAGGCTTGGATGCAGCTGCTCGGCCATGGAAACCCATTCCATGAAGCTCTCTATGCACGGTTGTTGTGCCAATCTGAAGGCCACACAAAGTTTGGAGGTCTGTAGCTATTGACTCTGCAGACAGTTGGCATCTTCTGAGCACTGTGCGCTTCAGCATGCGCTGACACCGCTCTGTCATTTTACGTGGCCTACCACTTCGTGGCTGAGTTGCGGTTGTTCCCAGTTGCTTCCACTTTGTTATAATACCACGGGTGACCCTGGAATATTTAGTAGCGAAGAAAATTCACAGATGGACTTATTGCACAGGTGGCAACCTATCACGGTACCACGCTTTAATTCACTGAGCTCCTGAGAGCGACCCATTATTTCACTAATGTTTATAGAAGGAGTCTGCATGCCTAGGTGCTTGATTTTATACACTTGTGGCCATGGAGGTGATTGGAACACCTGAATACAATGATTTTGAGGGGTGTCCCAATACTGTTGGCAGTATAGTGTATATCATCACTGGCCACCCAATGACTGAAGAGGATATGTACATACTTATGACAAAAACCCAGCCAACACATAGCAGTCTACTACCACTTTAATGAAAGTGGCACACACCAATTTGTTTATTTGTTGCATGGTGGTGTGCCAGTTTTGAGTGCCCTGACTCCTCTCTCTCTCTGGACTGGTTGAGTCGCCTCCTACCACACACCAACGTGTCTCTACTGTGGTGGCTTTGGTTATCGATGGTATCACACGCCTGTCCCTCCCCCCCTTCTATAAACAAAAACTCTTCACTACAGGTTGGAACCTCTTAGGTTGCAGGTTTGGGCTTCCTGTCTGTACCCAGTGGTGTATTCTGGTTTGGGGCTGCCCTAGGCAAGACAAAACTCAGACACCTCCTCCCCCCACTAAATTTTCCCCACTCCTTCCTGTTTTTGACTTTTTGCATAACCTGTCAGTCGCTGGATACAGTGCACACATTGTATTCAGCTTTTGACATGTTCCGCTATTAGCATAACAGGAAAGCTTGGGTCTCAGGTGGGCTCTGCAGGGTCTCAGGGGGGCTTTGCAGGATCTGTGGTGGGCTCTGCAGCATCTATGGTGGGCTCTGCAGGGTCTATGGTGGGCTCTGCTGGGTCTATTTTGGGCTCCGCAGGGGGCTGTGCAGGATCTGTGGTGGGCTCTGCGGGATCTCAGGTGCGCTGTGAAGGATCTCTAGTGGGCACTTCAGGTCTCGGGGGGCTGTGTAGGATCTGTGGAGGGCTCTGCAGGCTGCAGAGCCCACCACAGATCCTGCACAGCCCCCTGCGGAGCCCAAAATAGACCCAGCAGAGCCCACCATAGACCCTGCAGAGCCCACCATAGATCCTGCAGAGCCCACCATAGATCCTGCAGAGCCCCTCTGGGACCCTGCGGAACCCACCATAGACCCCACTACAGATCCTGCACAACCCCCCTGAGACCCTGCGGAGTCCACCATAGACCCCACCACAGATCCTGCAGTGCCCGCCTTAGACTTTCAAGTGGGCTGTGAAGAATCTGTGCTGGGCTCTGCAGGGTCCCTTTAACAGCAGTGTGATCCACTTACACCAAAGGCGTCTCTAGACTTTGCGAGGCCTTAGACGAAACTTAAACATGAGGCCCCACTCACAACTATAATCGAAAATTGATGGCTGTGTGGGGTTTTAGGAGGCCGTGTTTTTATTATTTTAACCAGCTCCCGTCCATAGCCGTTCTTGACTGGCTATAGGAGCGGGAGGGCGTCTTAAGATGTCCTGCCCCTTCCCCCGCTTGTGCGTGGCGCTCAGCGTGCACACGAGTTAAATCCAGATATACCACATCCACAGACCTCCCTCCATCCAGATCTCTACTTACCACCTCGTAAAAAGTCAGTAGGTTACCAACAAAAGAAAGCTCTATCTGTCCCCAAAAAATAGTATAAAGTTTGTTTCAGTACAGCGTTGCATGACGGAATAAACGTCGGTGTTTTGCGACGCATCCGATCGCACTGTGGGCGGGGGGTGTGTGGATGCGATGCCATTGACTTCAATGCACAGCCACGCCCCCTCCCGCCCCAGGACGAATGTGGAGTTTAGTGTGCGATTACAGTGCATTCCAGGAGTTACTGCTCTGGAACGCACCATAATTGGTGTGAACTGACCCTCAACAACTTCCTGGATTCCCTGGGTGCTTTGTATGCTTTCCCTGCTGCTTGATGTGATGCAATCTTGATTCCTCAAGACTAAATGATAACGTTACATTGTTCAGACGCTGAGTTGTAGTTCAGAAGGCAGGCTTAGTTATAGTTGTGACATAAGGAAGTGCATATTCACAGGGCTGAGTGACATTGTCTCAGTGCACTGAGGAAGTACATCCTATGGGCATCTTCAAGTAAGTTTACAAACTTCTAGATCAAAATGGTTATTAGGAGTGGCATAAAACTTATGGAAATTCAATATACAAATACATTTCTAGTTTTTGACCATCGATACCCTTTAGGTCACAACCTTAGGTGGTTCTCAACCTGTGTAACCCCAGGACCCACATTTGTCCTTGGTCATTAAGTTGTGACCCAAGTCACACTGCACTGGAACGCATGTCATTGTGGTACTGTTTGTTCCGATGCGGGTGATCACACAGTGGGATAGCAATGCAATACACCTCCCACAGCAGAATGCACGGTAGGTGTGATTGCGTGGTAAGGTGCGTTAAGCGCACGGAACTATGCAATTAACGCACTGTACGTGTGTGAATGGGCCCTTACAAAACACTGACAGACACACACAACTACAGACACAATCTCACACACTCACAGACATTCTCAGCCACACATACACACTCCCAAAAACATTTAATTTGTGTTCTTTTTTTAAGATCCACCCTGTCTCCCTATCTTACAAGGACGGGAGTGGATCCTCAGCCTGGGGTCCAGTGTGGGCTGCAGTGTTGTGACGGAGCTCCATCCATATGTGCATTGCTTGTACAACTCCCTCATTTGCTTCTCTGCCTTTTGGCTAAGATCAAGTGTAGTATCTGTTCTTATCAGTTGCCGGGGTAGAAATGATGCTGCCATCTATTGGAGAGGCGGATGTGTCCTAGTATTCTCCGGTGTAATTGGTGGGTGCCGGAAGAGGTTCAGTCCCTGCTGGATGTGTCAGACCCATAGGTATTGGGTTGACCCTGTGGGGAGGGACCTCGGAAGGCACTACCTTCTGATGGGAATGGGTGCTTGCTTGGTCTGGCTGGAGGGTTGGGGGTGGCGGGTCCCGTGGTGCTGTGCCCCCTGGGGGTGGCGTCCCAGAGAATCACATTGGGTGTGGGACCCCAACACTGATTCACTGTCACATGGACAGTTTCTGCACAACGCCTCTTGGACAGGCCTTATGGCTAGTCCGGGGCAATATTTTTGCACTCCGGCCCCTAAGGCCTGTCAGCGTGGTGCACTGGCACTTAGTTTTTTATTTATGCACTTAATGCACGATTGACACTCACAGATGACGGAGGGTGCAGGTACCTTTGTGTCTATTTCCTGAAGTTGGGGAGGAAGCTATGTGACCTACAAATGGGCCCCTCTGCCTTCTCCCACCTGTGGGGGGTCTTTCTTCGGGAGAGCCCCCCAACCTAGTACTTGGTGGACCTGTTTCGGCAGGTCCCAGAGGATCATGGTCCGCCGGTCTTCGGGTTGACGGACCTGAGTCGTTCTTGTCCCTGTCAGGAGCCTTGCGCCCCGGGGGATCAGGAAAAATTGTGGCCCTTTCACTAGAAAGGACTAAGCACCCATGTGTAACATCAGTGGTTCGTTTGTTCGTACCTAAAGACCCACTCCAGCACTGCTGCCTCTCTCCCCATCAGGCTGTACTTATACTTTTATTGTGCTCCTTTAGTACAGGGGTATAGCCGAAAGTCTGCCGTTTTTATAGGCAGAAAGGGGTGGGTGGAATGTGATTGGCTTAGAAAGAAAACTTCTGATTGGCTAGAGGAAGGAAGGGCCATGATTGGCCAACTGTCAATCTAAAAGTCCGTCTAAGCTTGGAGCTGCCAGGGTTCTGAGGTAGGGGGCGGCCCCAGAAACACATTAACCCGATCAACTAATTGCTGGAAGATGACTTCATTGAGAGCTGAATGAGCAACGCTGTGGTGATCGATGGGCTTGTAAGCATCCATAGGAAGGAACTACTGGACATGCTTGGTTTTACATGTTGCTTGTGAGTGCAATACTTTTATTAGCCCGATTTAATAAATTATTCTTCACATGGAACGGGCGCTCTTTTGCTGTTTTTTTTCATATATAGATATGAAGGCTCCCTGCCTTGTGGAGCTGCCCCGTGTGATCAAGCCTAATTAAGTGGAGAGAAGCCTGTGGATGATTACTTTGCGCCGGGAGTGAATAGACTTACAAGGGTATAGCCACTAGATGGGGCTGTGCCTTCTGTTTTAGCCTACTGTCCAACCTCTCCAAAGCAACAGCTTACCCAGCCAAAGAAGATTGAGTACATCTCACAATGAACTACTGGAAAAAGATACAAATACACCAGCACTCCAGACATGTAAAGATGTCTCACAAATTTATTGTGAAGAACAACGTCACATACATACTATATATACACACCGATATTTCAGGGCCTTCTGAAGGCAACATAGAGTGAAAAAATACCATGTGTGTAAATGCAGTATATATTACAGCAACTGAATGCAAATTGTACCCGGTGGGGCTTTTATAGCAGCTTAGAGAGGTAGGGAGTGGGAGATGTGCAGCAACCTAAAGATCAGGCTAGGTTCACACCAGATGCAGTGCGTTCCGGCCCGATTCTGGCCAGAACGCACTGCATTGCGGCCGGCTCACTTTTTTGTGGGGCAGGAGGGGGCGTGGCGGGCCATTGAAGTGAATGGCACTGTAGCCATGCCCTCTGGCCGCAATGCAATCAGCTGCACGTGATTGCAAGGCACATTGTGCATGCGGTCCGGTCCAGTGCGGTGCAATCAAAATGCTGCAAGCACTATTTTGATCGCACCGAAACCGGAGGACATTGTGGATTGGATGGACAGATTGCTGGGAGGGGCTGGGGAGGGCCCAGTGGTCATGGTACTAATCACAAAGTGACAGGAAGATGGAGCGTCATCAAAAAAGATCTTAGAGTCCACGGTCGGAGCCTAAAAAAGGTGGTATTCTCCCAAATACTGCTGGTACCAAGAGCCACACCAGTGAGACAGCAAGAACTAAGAGAGCTAAACAAGTGGCTAAAAAATTGGTGTAGGCATGAGGGGTTTGGGTTTATGGAGAACTGGGCTGACTTTTAAGTCAGCTACCAGCTCTACAACAGGGTTGGACTGCACCTAAATGGGGAGGGTGTAGCTTTGCTGGGGAAAAGATGGTAAATAGACTAGAGCAGAGGTCAGCAACCTGCGGCTCTGGAGCCGCATGTGGCTCTTTCACCCCTCTGCTGCGGCTCCATGTCCAGGGGCGGAACTACCGCCGGGGCCACCCCCTAGTGCAATATGCGGCAGTGGAGGGTCCCGGGGCCCTGCACTGCCGACGGGCTTCTCAGCAAGGGGGTAGGTCCTGTGACTCACCTTCTCTCCCGGCTGCGTCCCTAGTAACAGGCGGTGGGAGAGGAGAAGTGTGTGTACGGCTGGTATTTGGTAGCGGCAAGTACCAAAAAAAATGTTATCGGTACTCGATACAGAAATAGCGCTATCGGTGCAACCCTAATAATCGTAAACTGCTTAAGGGGTATTTTGCTTTGAGAGTGGTAAAAATTTGAAATTCACTTCCACAGATAGCTGTATCAGCAGGAAACATAAACTGCTTCAAAAAACACTTGGATGAGTTCCTCTACTCACAGCACATACAGGGTTATTGAAATTCCAAGCAGTACACACACACTACAGGTTGAATCTGATGGACCTGTGTCTTTATTTAACCTTACCTACTATGTAACTATGTAAAGATACTTCCTGTAGCTTTCATTGTAATTACATAGCCCAGCTATAAGCTACAACTGAAGGACATATACAGGTTCCCCACATTACGGATGCATCTAAGTGGTTGCTGCAAGTCTTGATTTTTCTCATGGCAGTGTATTTATTCAATGTTCACACAGGCAGAGAAGTACACTGTTAAACTGGCCATACACCTACGGATTATTTGCAGATTTTCTGTGGTCAGATGGAAAAGGTGCAACGGATTCCTCCATCTACACTAAACTGTGTGGATGGAGATGGAAAAAGTGCAACGGATTCCTCCATCTACACTAAACTGTGTGGATGGAGGAATCTCCCACTGGGCCAAGCTTCAGTATCTTGCTAGTCGACCCGCTGGCTGTCACAGTACCTGAACAATATGACTGGATGCAGGCCGTTTAGGTGTTTTGAGAGCCGGCGGGGCAGACTAGCAAGATACTGAAATTTGGCCCAGTGAGAGATTCCTCCAAGCCACACAGTGGATGGAGGAATCTGTTGCACTTTTTCCATCTGATCATAGATCTGCAGCTAATCTATAGGTGTACGGCCAGCTTTAGATGTTGGTAGTAGGGGCATAGAAATAAAGCTAAGCCCCCATTCATATCTGAGCAATGTAATGTCACTCAGAAAAAGTACAGAAGTGTCTTTAGAATAGGACTGCATGTTTTTGGCACCACTAGACTTAAATGGGAGGGCCTGAAAAGCGTTTATAATGCACATCGTTGTCATGATTTCATGCCCAAGAACCGTATCCTTCTTCTGGTAAGCTTTCTATTAGCCAAAACCACTTAAGCTTGAAAAGAGTGCAAAATACACCGGTGTGCAAAACGACCAAACGCACTGACACTGAATTGTGAATAATATAAAGTGTTAGTGCTGAGGTTTCCATTCACTTCCTCACGTGCACTATTTGCAATGGCGTCCTCAGCACGTTAAAGCCATACCCATCGACCAACATACGCCACTTCCTGTCGTCACGGATCGGGTCCCATGACCGGAAGTTCCTTTCCAGGATAGTGACGTAAAAATCAGCGTTTGCATTTTCTTGCGCGCTAAAAAAACTGCTTCCAACGTGTTGTAAGTTCATTGTTGGCGGAGAGCGACACGATGGACACGTCTCAGCTGTGTAAGCTGTTCATCGGAGGCCTCAATGTACAGACCACAGAGGCCGGCCTCCGGAGTCACTTCGAGGCGTACGGATCCCTCACTGACTGTGTGGTGGTAGTGAACCCGCTGACCAAGCGCTCCCGCTGCTTTGGGTTCGTCACTTACGCCGATGCGGAGCAGGCCGACGCCGCGGTGGCCGCCTCCCCCCATGTGCTGGACGGCAATAACGTGGAGCTGAAGAGAGCCGTGTCCCGCGAGGACTCCTCCAGGCCCGGGGCCCATGCCAAAGTCAACAAGCTGTTTGTGGGGGGGCTGAAGGCGGATATAGAGGAGGCGCACCTCATGGAGCACTTCTCCCAGTTCGGCACGGTGGATAAGGTGGAGATTATCGCCGACAAGGAGTCCGGCAAGAAGCGCGGCTTCGGCTTCATACATTTCGCCGACCACGACGCTGCAGACAAGGCGGCCGTGGTGAAGTTCCATCCCATCAATGGGCACCGTGTGGAGGTGAAGAAGGCCGTGCCGCGGGAAGAGATCCAACAAGCCTCTTCTGCCAAGTCTTTCCGTGGCGGCGGTCGCGGGAGAGGAGGATCAGCGAATGGCTTCTCCGCAGGCAGAGAAGGTTACGGAGGCTACGAAGGCTATGGCGGGGGTGGCCCAGGCTACAGTTCATACGGCGGCTACGGCAACGGTTCGAACGGCTTCGGGAACTATTCTCAGCATATGTCCGCCTATGGACCGGTGAAGGGCTCGGGAGCAGGCGGCGGTGGTACCTGGGGCCGTAATAGCAACTCGGGCCCTTATGGAGCTGGGGGGTACGGTGGAGGCGGCCCATACGGCTCCTATTAGAGGGACTACTTCTAAAGAGGGACTACTACATGGACTCATCCAGACACAACCCTGAGCCATGGACGCTTCCTAACGCCATCTGTCCTTTTTTTTCCGTATCTGGATGTTTTCTCTTGTCTGGGTCATTATTTTGCCAGGCTTGTTTTTTTTTGTTATGAATGTTTCCAAAACCTGACCTGTATTTTTGTTTTCTATGGTAAATTGATAAGTGCTAAACCGCCTCATGGACGTAACTTCCGGTGTGGAGTCAGGGTTCATTTTTTTTTTTTACATACATTGAATGTCCTATTGATCTGGATTGGGTACCCTTCAGAAGGCGTTTAGCAAACTTCTAGTTAGCTGGAAATCCAAGATTAATTTTTCTATTATGTATAGTTCCTTTAACTGCATAGGTTTTTGTTTGCATTTGGCTTGACCTTCTTTTTTTTAATAAAACCAAACTGTTTTAAGATTACTTACTGTTATAGGTCTTCTTAAATGGGTGGGGCAGTTTTAAAGCATTGAGGAACTTATTTATACAGATAATAGATACCTGTTTGGTATATGTAATGTTTAAGGCCCCATTCACACCTGAGTGTTTTGTAACCTCTTTCTCTAAGCGTGATGATGCTCAACAAAAAGAATCCTGTTATCAATGGCCCCTTTCACACCTGGGTTTTTTGTTGTTGCTGGTTGCATGAAGCTTGGAAGTACACAAGCTGCTTCTGGATCTGAATCATGTTTAGGCACCAGACTTTAAACTCGGGAACATATCTTTTTAATCCCAGCAGTGGGGCTACCCCCACATTGCAAGGGTTAAGTGACCTTAAACTCTAGTGGATTCTTAAAAATGCATTCTGGTATCTTAACCGGTAACAAAATGCTTTTTTGTGTATCTCTCAGCTGTAGATCCTCAAATAATCTCTTAATTAGTGCTAGCACTGTCCTTCCTCCTGGATGGTGGCTACTTTTGTTCCCCATGGTCTTTGTGTGTGTTTGTAAAGTAGCCACCACCCCAAGCCCACTCTTGTGATGAACTATAAACTAATGAGCTTATAGTCCATCATGGGAGCGACTTTGTAGTGGTGGCTACCTTACAACAATATGTGGGAACATATGTGTTCCCATGTCGCATATATTTTTATAAACTCTTCTGGTCACATGATTTTTTTTTTCTCGTGTTGAATATTTTTTATTAAATTTTCAATAAACATACATAATACAGGCAAGCACTGGGCTGAACCCCAGCAAAGGTCACATGTTTTTAATTTACTTTCTTGGGCCTAAAGCCCAACTGTTTTTTTCTTTCTTTTCCTTCCCTCTTATGTAGCAGGAGGAATGATACTCAAAGTGGGTGGAAACAATAGGGAACGAATGACTTGGTCACGCCATGTGCGATGATAGAGGTTTTTCTGCACTTGATCAGCTCCAGTTGCTTTAAAGTCCATTTCCACCTTTTGTAAGTGATGAGCATTTATTGTGGTAATAGAGGTGCAGTGACAATGTATACATCTACACATTTTCATGACTCACATTGCAGGGATTTGTATTTTAATGAAGGTTTTATTAGGATAGAAGCTTAAAAATGCAACATTTTGCGCCACTGCAAAATCAGTCTGGATCCGCCTCACCCATTGTAACATGATCCGTAAACACCATCTCTGCCTTTACACACAATGCACTGTCCAGAGGGGGGGAATATATACACAAGCTCTTTGCACAGAGACAGAAATTTCCATGTGGCTATGAAGAGGAAAGCCAACAAAAGAGTAAGTTTCTGTGTTCATGTACATCAGCTGCATATGCCCATTTCATGTTCACTTGGTATACATTGCTGGCATATGTATTTTAAAAATACCTCTGCAAAGGTGAAATGGGTTTTAAAGGCACATAGGAAATAATTGTTTTTATGTGGCCTGTTCACACCAGAATGCTGCCTGGGGGTGTGGTGTAAAGAAATGTAGACATACTGCATTTTCTGCACTTCACCTCATGTCGGTTATGGGTCACCACACTCCAGCTGACCTAACAATGATTACACATGAATAAAATGTCACTTTGAAAATTCAATAACGTTTAAGCAAAAGGCTAAATGGTGCCAAGTGTTGTAAAAAAACATATGGTGCCGCCCCAACACAAGCCACACTAAAATGGGCTGTTTGAGCACAAAGGCTAGTGTGAATGAGCCCTCAGGCTGGGTTCACATCTGGGCGTTCCAAATAGATGCGTATTATGATCGGTTTTAAGCACTTTTTTTGTTCAATGAAACGCGCGTTAGATGCTCGTTTTTTTAACCTCCCTGGCTATATTATTTTTTTAAACTTCCCGCCGGTTACGCCCCCCTGCGATGTGGACGCTCGCAATAGACAGCAGCGGCCGGAGGACACAGCAGGGATCACGGACAAGGTAAGACCTACGCTGTATTCCGGAGTGTGGCTCGGGGTTACCGCTTCGTTAACCCCCGAGCCACACTCTGGAATACCGAGCCACACTCGGGAATACCAATGGATACGCGCTGAAATCCGCCCCAAAGAAGCTCCTGTACTTGTTTGGGGCGTGGGAACCATGCCCATTTAACTGCTTGAGTGTTTTTCAGCGCTGAAAAACGCCCAGGTGTGAACCCAGCCTAAAGCAAGCAGATTTTACTTCAGGAAACCAGAAAGATGTGTAAAATGCGAGTAATTCAGTTTGTAATTATCTGCCAAGATCTTACTTCTAGTTTTTGGGTAAACATTTATGATATAAAATGATGCACAAGTAGAAGCTATTTTCAGTTAAAATCTTCTAAATGCATTCCAGGTGTATTGGAACAGCAGAGAGCAGGAGCTTTGCTGATTGCAAAGCTATAAGTCTGTCACAGCAGGGGGGTGTTGGACCTTTGCAGTTATACTGCTGCTTCCAAGTGCTTTTCTACAACATGCTGGCAGAGGACAGGCTGCTTGTTGGGCTGTGGCTACTAAAAGAATGAACTGCATAAGCCTTTGCACACTATTTTGTTTTGATGCACATGGAATGTATTTAGATGTCTTAAAGTGACGCTAAACTCCGGAGTTAAAAATGCATTAAAGTACCTTAACTATTAAGAAAAATGTATCCTATTTGTGCATCACTCTGCTGTAGATCCTTAAACAATCTGAATTGGTGCTGACACTGTCCTTTCTGGAGGGTTCCCCATGCTCCCTGTGTGTTTTGTAAAGTAGCCATCACTCCAAGCTGGCTCCCATCTTGGATTACAATCTCAATACAAATAAGTATTGAGATTATAATCCAAGCATTGTCCCGATACTAGTATCGGTAGGAGGGCCGATACAAGGCATTTTTACGAGTACTTGTGAAAATGCCCCGAAACTAAAGGCCGATATCAACCCTTTAAATTTTTATATCGGAGAGGCTGCCTAAGGTCCCACACTTGTGGGGACCTAAGGCAGCCTGCTGGGGACCTAGCAGGAGCTGTCTTTGACACTAAACAAAACCAAAAAGGGTAAGCGCACTACTGTGGATGTGAATAAATATGATTGGTAGTATTGGGTGTGCGGGCTCCTTTAACAGGGAGAGGAACCCTGTATACAGAATTAGCAAAGAAAAAGAAGCGCTACTACCCACAGATTGTTGATAAATAATTAAAATATAATTAATTGATAACATGTATGGAAAAAGTGGAAAGAATCCCCGACCTTCCTCCGCACAGCCGCCAGGGCTCAGCCTGGCCAGCGGAGTCCTGACATTACCCACACAACCAGTGCACAGTCCGGTCCCAGCTACGGCCGCCTTATCTAACTTCCAGCCTGCGGCTCCTCTCCCTGTGCTCCAGCAACGGGAGCTGAATTCTTCTACCTGCCTGTACCACCATCTACTCTTCTGCCAGCGACCACCCACTGCCTTCATCCAACAGTGAGTCACCCTTCACTTTTTCCATACATGTTATCAATGAATTAATTATATTTTATTTTAATTATTTATCAACAATCTGGGTAGTAGCGCTGTCTTTGTCACTGCCTGCCGGGTTCCAGATCTCCTTCCCAGCCCGGGGCAGCCCCACACAGCAAATAAAGCCCTGGAACCACCTGCCCGCAGAGCCCTTGGGACAACTGAACGGTGAGATCTAGACGCTGCTCTGGTGAAATCAGGAAGCAGCCTGGTAACATATGTATTCAGCTCTAGTGAGATCTGGATGCAGCCCTGGTCTCTACACAGCCCTGCTGTACACAGCTGCTCTAGATTTTGTCTGCTCCAGTTTTGCTAAATTCCCTTCTTTGTGTCCCTCCAGCAATTTTTTTTTGTACGCGTGTTAAAGGGGTTCTAAACCCTCAGGTTTTTTTGCCTATATCTACTGCTAGCAAGCAGTAGATATAGGCAAGAAGTTTAAAAAAAACAAAACGCTTGAACTGGTTTGGGACATTTTTTTTGGCTTTAATGTCACTTTAAGTCTGAATTTTTAGCTAGAGAACTGCTTAAAACCCCCAATTATATTTTCTGAGAGCAGAGACCCCCCTAGAAAAACTAAAACTTAGTTGACATTTTTAAGTGTTTATCAAATTGATAATTTTAGCAACAATACACAAAAATTTATTTAAGTGCACACAAACATATTATAATACCCAACTGAAAGATGGGGGGTTACAGCTGGTAAATAGCTACTAAGCATATCAAACCTTACAATTGTGCACGCCTTTATGTAACATGCAATTGTGATACTTTTGTGCATGGGGTAGCCTTCGGTCCTAGAGGTTACTGACTTGGGATGGAAGGAGGAGTCTATTTATTTAATGTGGTTGATGTGTTTCCTGTTGCAGGCAGGCGGAGCCTATATCTCGATGGCTGTCCTGGAAGATTCCTGGAAACAGAGTTATCAGGTAATCAACTCATGTTTTTTCGCACCTGACACATGTTTGCATGTTAGTGTGTGTATGTAGGGGTGGAGGGCTTTAATTTTTCTAACAAGCGCCCTGTGATGGCACTGAGCAAGTGGCAGGTCGTCTTTATGGAGACATCAGGGGTCACTTAAATTATGGTGAGGTTTGTTTGATTCTAAATAATCTGTATGTTGTAGTGGAGATAAGAGTTACCGGCGGTGGGTTTGAAATGTGTTTTTGTGATTATCTTTGTATTGAGGTGGGTGAGTTAGAGGTCTAAAAAGACCAAATGGGACTTGTCCGTGATGTGTGTGAAACTGAGTCCTGTGGGGTTGGTGTTGCAATGCATGACAAAGTCATTGATGGTGTCTATAGGACCGTCCCAAATGATAATGATATCATCAATGTAGCGGCCGTAGAAAATCAGGTGTCGGGCGAAGGGACTGTTGTGCCAGATGTGACATTCCTCCCAGAACCCCATCTTTAAGTTGGCATAACTGGGGGCATAATTGGCCCCCATGGCTGTGCCTTGAATTTGTAGGTAAAATTCCTCTAGGAAAGTGAAATAATTGTGTTCTAGGGTGAACTTGGTAGAATTAAGGATGAATTGAGTTTGTGATGGAGCTTTGGTTCTTGGGACAAATAATATTGTAGTGCTTGTAGGCCTACTTCATGGGGGATGGAAGTGTAGAGTGAGCAAACATCAAGGGAGACCCAGTGATATGTGGGCTCCCAGGAGTAATGGTGTAGTGTTTCGATGCGGTGTCCAGAGTCTCTCAGGTAGGAAAGTAGGGTGGTGACAATGGGCTGTAGGAAGTGGTCCACATAGCGAGAGAGGCCACTAGTGAGACTGTCGAGGCTTGAAATGATGGGGCGGCCGGGGGGTGTGGTGCTGTTTATATAAATCTTTGGTACATGATTAAAAAAAAGGGTGTTTTTGGTTGTGGGGGACACAATACTGATTTCTCTTTTTTTGGTGATGATCTTTTCTTTGAAAGCTTGTTCGATTAGGGGTTTTAAGGCATTTAGAAATTGAGGTAGTGGGTCAGTGTGTAATTTTTGGTAAGTGGTGATGTCTGACAGTAGTCTTCCGGGCCTCTTATGTAGTCATCCCGGTTTTGGATAACAATACCCCCACCTTTATCCGCTTGTCGGGTGGAAATCTGTTTGTTATTGGTTAGGTCTTTTAAAGCTTTGCGTTCATGATGGGATAGGTTAGTTTTATTTGATTGTTTGGTCTGGCTTAGGGATGTCCCGATGCCACTTTTTCAGGCCCAAGTACAAGTACATCCCCTATATGTACCTCCAGACCTAGGGGGTTAACCACATTACCGGCTGTGATTACCACTGTAACCACCACACCTCCTTCAACGCTGGTGTCAAACCATCACACGATTTCCTGCAAATCACCCAGGACAACCTCCATGCGATCTTCCAGCATCTGGAAAACACCCGGACACCACAGGCCATCCTTCTAAGTACTATCATCAATCCGGAACCCTACCCTACCACAACACCTAGGATTCCCACCAATCCACCCCTCGTCGATGACATCGCATCATCACTCACTTCATTGTAAGTTGTCATTTACCGCACTTCTGACTATTGTTTTTCATTGTCACCTTTTGGTAGTAGCGCTTCTTCCACCACACGTGTAGCCATGCCAGAACAACACCAGCACAGTGGGGACATATTAGAATACATGGCAACTAGGCATGAGGGCACACTGTACAACCGGATGAGCATCTTGTAGTTTGTTTAGAGTCTACAGAGGTGGTATGGGCATATTTTAGGATGTTGAACACTTCAAAGTCTAAACTGTACCTCCAAGTCCCTTTCCCACTCCTTAACGAAGAAGAGGGAGCCTAAGGATTCTGAATGTAGTAGAAATGTATACATGAGGTAAAGCATCCTGGTTGGGAAATTGGCAGAAGTGCATAGCTCTTCAAACTGGGTGAGCGAGTCGGGGGATCTCATGAGAGGAGCTTGTGACCCCAACAAGTGCTTGAACTGCCCATACCTCCAGAAGTAAAAGGGGAGTTAGTTACCCCCACTTCTGTCTCTTTTCATTCAAGGTAAGTAGAGTATGCCCCGACATGCCACTTCAAGACCAGGTGTTTAGACTAACAAGTACCCCTCTCCCCCCACCACCTCCTGGTGCTAAGGGAGAGATCCCTGGTGCCATTATTCAAGATTTATGATGGTTTTTTTTAAAACAAGTCTTTGGTATGAATTAGACAACAATGTGCCTGTCATAGATGCATTTGTAACTGGGTCTCCTACCTCACAGGCAGTTTTTTTGCCATTTCTGGCAAAAGGAAGTGAGTAAACTGCTGCATTACAACAGTGTCTCTATAAGAAAGTGGAAGTACTTCAGCTGTTTCCTGTATAAATCTGAAAGCTTAAAGGAGAACTATGAGGGGAGTGCTTTTCACTCACCTCATAGTTCTAGCCGACCTGTGACAACGAGACTGTCACAGGTCGCCTCAGTAGATCGGGAGGTGAGCGAACACATACCGGCGTTCGCTCACCTCTCGATCATGTCACGGCTCTCTGCCGTGACAGGGGAGGGTCTGGATTCCCCCCTCCCCGCTCCGATCCGCCAGTGCTGACTGGCGGAACGGACGGGGGAGGGGGCGGGTACAGCTGGCTCTGCCTCTAGATAGGCAGAGCCAGCTGTCAGTCACGCAGCTGGGCGGATCCCGGCACAATTGTCGGGATCTGCTTCAGCTGCGGCGTCTCAGTTACTGCGGCGTCTCAGTATACTGAGCCTAGGGTGAAGGGAGCACACTAATTTGTGTCCTCCCGCTACCATAAGGAGAACTATGGGGAAAAGCTCTGACCCCATAGTTCTCCTTTAAAGTGTATCTCCACTTTTGCAGTCAAAATTGAGAAAACCCATTCTCTATGTTTGTGTTCACGCAGTATATCTTACAATATTGCTTTTTTTTTATTAGTTTTTTTTTTACACATTTTTTTTAAAAATAATTTTATTTTGTTTTACATTTTATTATTTTAATTTTTTTTTGCAGTGAAATATCTGGGGTCTAAATAGACCCCTGACATTTCCCTTTTGAAATAGAAAAAGAAATTGAGGACATAAGTCAATTTCTTTTTCTGCAGCCCCAGCACTCAATGAATGAGAAGCCTCAGTACAGAGGCTTCTCATTCATTCACAAACTAATGATAGTAAAAATATCTTACTATCATTAGTTTCTGAATGGGGAGGAGCCTCTATAGTGAGTGCTAGTCCCCATTCATAAATTCTTGAATGAACAGGCTGTGATGTAAATCACAGCCTGTTCATTCATAACTGGGGACACGTAGTACTACTGTATGTGTCCCCAGTTATTTACAAACAACGGAGTGATCAGACGATCACTCCGGTGTTTGCTGTAAACAGAGGGATCGTTAAATATCAATGATATTTAACGATCCCCCGCTCAGCCACGCTACAGAGCCGCTGTCATCCGAAAAAGTGACAGGATGACAGCGCCTCCGATCACTATGCCGCTCGGCCATCCTGAATTGCGGGCAGCCGCCGCTTGGTCCATCGCCCCCCCCTTCCCCCTCTGTGATTTTATTACGGATCCCCGCTGCCACAGACCCTACAAGCGGGGGACAGCAGCGCGGATCCATGGAGTCTCTCATCCCTCCCTGGGTTGGCTCCGGTGGGTGCCGCGGTGCCGGTGGGGGGGGATGGGGTGCCCGGTATTTTTGATGATAGCAGTCATCAGCGGTTTACAAGCCATTCATTTGAAGGGGACTGTCCGGGGGACAGTTCTACTATAAGCTCATGGTCGCTAAAGCGACCACGAGCTTATAGTAGAACTGTAAATGCCAGGTCCGTACGGCATACTGAGCTGGCCAGCCAGAAGCACTTTTGTACCTCCTTATGCCATACGTCCTTGGCAGCGAAAGGGTTAAAGTGGCCATACACTGTGCAACATTTTTGTCCAGCGTCCCTTGATCAGCTGGTTGGAAAATCTGGATATACCTTGTTGTGTTCTTCAAACCATTCTTGAACCATTTTTGCAGTGTGGCAGGGTGCATTATCCTGCTGAAAGAGGCCACTACCATCAGGGAATATCGTTTCCATTAAGGTGTGTACTTGGTCAGCAACAATGTTAGGTAGGTGGTACATTTCAAAGTACCATCCACATTAATGGCAGAAGGTTTCCCAGCAGAACATCACACTGTCTCTGCCGGCTTGCCTTCTTCCCATAGTGTATCCTGGTGCCCCCTCTTCCCCAGGAAAGAAACACACATGCACTCAGCCATCCAAATGATGTAAAAGAAAACGTGATTCATCAGACCAGGCCACCTCTTTCCATTGCACCTCTGTATTTTATCACAGAATTCCT